GGAGAAGGCAGAGGACACACCAGGTGCAGCATATTTGCATATCTGCATATTTGCAGAGCCTGCACCAGGCACAGCATGTGCAAAGGGCCTGTGGCACAAAGGGGCCAAGCAGGGAGACACAACGCCCAGGATGAGTAGCCAGACATAGGCAGGTCAGGCAAGGGCCACAGCAGCAGTGCGTGTGGTAACCACGTGCTCAGTGTCTGCCCAAGCCTACCGGGCAGGCCCCGGCCCCGTGTGGGTTCTGTATACACCAATGTGCCGAGTACCACTACACAGCTGAATTTTTCATCTTACTAAATTGTACTGATTTTATTCTGGGGTCTGTTAGGTGTGGTTCTCTCCCTGCACCACTGCGGATGGAACCCAAGGCTTCACACATGCTATGCCCCGGCCCCAAGTCCCTCAATTTGAGCTACTTTCATTTAGAACACACATGGCCCCGAGAGGCTGGCAGCCACGACACTTCGGGGCTTCGCAGAACTGGATGCCACAGCGGGGTCTGAGGTCATGATGGGCTGTGAGGGCAGGCGGTAGCCAGGGCCACAGAGGTGGGGACGAGGACAGTGCTGACTTGGTGGGTGGCAGCACTAAGGGGGTGACTCACAGGTCTTGGGAGGAGGGCCCGCTGCTGGTTGGAACAAGACAGGAACTGTTTTGCCTTTCTGAGAGGGGATTTCACTATGCAGTTCAGGCTGGCTTTGAACTCACGTTAGTATCTCAGCCTGGCGTCCAACTCACAGCGATCCTCCTGCCTCAGCCTCCCACGTGCTAGCATTATAGACATGCACCATCACACCTCACTGGGAGTTTGGGGCAGGTAGGGAAAGGAAGATTTCGCTCCTCCAGGGGAGTGAGGTCATATAGGCTGAGGGCAGGGAGGGAGCGGAGAAGAGGAAGAAGCCCAGCGAGCCCCCGCAGGATTCAGCCACCAGAGAGAGGGAGGTGAGGGGCCGACATGCGGGACCTCAGCCACCCACAGCAGACACGCGACAGGGGCTTCAGCTGTGATCCTCACAACCAAAGCTGGAATCCACCTACATGTCCAACCCCAAGAGGAGAAAAAGCAAGGTGCCAGAGCACAGTGGAATTCTACTAAATACGAATTTCCAAACACTGTGCTAAATCACACACACACACACACACACACACACACACAGACACACTCCAGTAACAAAGTATGACTCATTCATATGAAGTCTCAAAACAGGCAAATTTATGGAAACAGAAGAACAGACACTCCAGACCTCCTTGCCTGGAATCTGCAGGAGGAGGGATTAACTACAAAGAAGCAGGCAGGGACTTTGGGGGCCTAAGTGTTCAGACTGGCCAGTGGGACGGGGGTGTAGCTCAGGGGCAGAGCGCTTGCCCAGCAGCCTCTACTAACCCTGCATTTGATGTTCAGCATCACAAAGCAACAAACTGGACAGCTGTGATGGCTGTAAAACTCTGTAAAGCTAATTTTTTTTTTGGTTCTTTCATTTTGTTTTTCTGAGACAACATCTTACTATGGAGCCCCGGTTGGACTTGAATTCGTGGCAACTGTCCTGCCTCGGCCTCCCCAGTCCTGGGATTACAGATGCATGCCACCACATCCTGCTTGAAAGGTACTTTAAAAGAAAAGTCAATGAACCGTATAATAATATATGACAATAATATATTCTATTTTTTTGTTAGTAATATATTTTGTTATATGTTACAAGGCTATCTTAAAAAAGAAAAACTGTGGAATATATACCTAAATAGTTCTTTTTTTTTGCTTTGTTTTTGTGGGAGTTTTTTGTTTTTGTTTTGAGACAGAGTGTTACTCTGTAGTTCAGGTTGGCTTTGAACTATGTTGCCCAGGTTGGCCTCAAACTCGGAGCAATCCTCCTGCCTCAGCCTCCCAAGTGCTGGGATTACAAGTGTGCACCACCACACTGCACAACACTCAGCTCTTTCTCACAACCCAAAACCTCCTGTGTCCCAAGTACAAATACATCAAATTATCCTTGTTCAACATGAAAAAAAAAAAAACCCCAGGAATTCTAGGCAGGCAGCATGTACATCTGTGATCCCAGCACACTGAAAGGTTGAAGGAGGAGGACTGCAAATTCCAGCCCAGCTTTAGGTTATTCAAGTGACTTCACAAGAACCTATCTCAAAATGAAAAATGAAGCCGAGCATGGTGGTGCACATCTGTAACCCCAGCACCTGGAAGATGGGGCAGGTGGAGTGTTGTGAGTTTGAGGCCAGCCTGAACTGCATACTGAGACCCTGTCTCAAAAAGACCAAAAAACCAAACCAAACCAAAACACCAAAATCTATTCAGCCAGAAGCAACAGGCATGACATGATACAATGGTTTCCACAATGTAGCCTTTTTTCCTGCCATCCATGTCTTCTCCTCAGGATGAGGTAACAACTTCTAGAAAGAAATGAATTTCAGGCCCTGAGGAATTCCCCAGCAACCACACTACAACCCTGAGCCAGCACTGACATCACTCTGCCAACTGGGGCATGCAGCTTTTTTTTTTCTTGGGTTTTTGTCAGACTCCTCCAATCCGTGCTGAAGCTTTGCTGTGCAGAACCATCAGGTGAAATCTGTAGCAGTTTAAATCCACGCCCTCTCACTGATGATCTCCAGACCCTACGCAGATGACTTAATGGTACCGAATCTTAGTTTCCTCCTGAAACAGAGAAATGAAGCCCAAGCGCTCCCAGGACCTCTGCAGGGATGGACACTGAGCTTATCTCAAGGGCGCAGCAGAGCACGCTGCCCACCAAGTTAGCTTCCCCTTCAGCTAATCTCCTCCCCACCCACCACCACCGCGGTTATCTCTCCCGAAACCTTTCCCTGTTAAGGATTTCCACCTTGCTGGTGCCACCCCCTATACGTAGATTACACAAGGACATTCACACAAATGCAGACCTGACTTAAATCTGAGTCCATGTCACTGTCTAGGGAATAAATCAGTCCCAAAGCTGGCAAACTTTAAAAGGTGTCGGAGGTGTGTTCCTGCCTCTAATACCAATTAGACACTTTATCACTAGCATCACTTCCTCTGGGGCTGCGGTATTAACAGAGTGTCCAGGGAAGGGGCCTGTAAATCCCAGCATTGAGGAAGTGAGGCAGGAGGATCCTAAATTCCCACCTAGGAAATTCAGGGAGACCTCGTCTCAAAAAATTAGAAGGGCTGGGGATGCAACTCGGTGAAAAGCCTGAGGTTCAATTCCCAGTACTACAAATAAATAAGTAACATCAGCAAAGGAACTTTAAAAAGCACAGTCATCCGCAGTACCCAGGTGCCTGGTTCCAGGGACTCCCTGGGTACCCAAATGTGAGGGCACTCAAAGTGTCTTTTAACAGCATTGTATTTGCACAGAACCTGCGACCTCCACACATTCATAATCTCTAGGTGCCTTGGGACACCTAAGGCAGTGTACACGCTTTGCACAGAGTTGTTACATTGTATCGTGTAGGGACTAAGGGCAGGAAAAACACTGCCTGAGCAGTACAGAAACAATGTCTTTCCAGGCACTTTCCAATCAGCAGACTGAATGCCTGGACACAGAATGTCGACAACAGATACACATGGTCCTACCCCAGTCTCATTGTAAGGTCCACATTCGGGGGATGATTCCAACGCAGACAGGACAGGCGCTGGCCACACCTTGTTAACTCAGTTTCCCAATCACCTGGAGCTGCCCCTGCCCTGAGGGGCCAGCTCACCTTGTTCATGGCACGCATGAATCACCCCCGGACTTCACAATCTGCTGATCGCCCTAACTCATCGGAATTCCGAGCGCAGGCACTGTCCGGGCAGCGCTCTGGGGAACTGCACCACTGAGACACGGAGAGTGGCGAGGGACGCAGCTCACTGGCTGGGCGTCCTCCTGGCAGCTGCGTTCCTCTCCCTGCCCAGGAAGCCAAAGAGCAAAAGCAATCGAACCACGGAATGTGCAAGGCAGCAGCGCGCAACTGCGTGGGGCGGGTGACCCGGGCCGCGTCCAGCTCGGTTGCTCCTCTGTGAGGCCTCCTCCCAGGAGGAGTCAGGGACACCAGGGACAAAGACCCCACCGGACAGCAGCTGGCGCCGTCTGCTTCCCACGACACCTGGCCAGGGAGGAGGAGCCTGCCCGGCTCCAACCTGGCGTCAGCGGCCGCCGGAAGCCCGGAGGGCGGGGCTAACCCGCAGGCCCCGCCCAGCAGGGTCCCAGCCATCAATGGGCATCGCCCTCACCTGTGCGGAGGGCCGCGCACGGCCCGGGCCCCGCCCCGAGGGCTCTGATTGACAGGTGCGGGCGGGCCCGGGCACCAGCATTCTCCCCGCTCCCCCCAAGTCGCCGGCGCCACCTTCTTCCCAAATGAGGTGCGTTTCGAGCACCGCCACGGTCTCCCAAACCCTCAACAGGTCACTGCCACCCCCGAGCGGCTCTCCAACCCGGCTGCTCTCCCCGAGGGAGGTGAAACCAACCCACCCCCCCCCTTCCACGCCCCAGAAACTGCACAGCAGGTGGCGAATCCTGCCCCAGCCTGGGGCTCCTGCCCCCAGCCCGGGAGGCACGGGCGTCAGTGCCGCCACTGGGCAGCAGGCGCCCCTCCCACCGTCTGGCCGGTGCGGGTCGGAGCAGGTGGTCTCGGGGTGGCCGGGCCGGCGGGGACCCCTCGCCCACACGCGGGAGCGCGACGCTCGGCGCGCACATTTCGGGTCGCGGTGACCACGACCCGGGGCGATCGCAAAACAATAACGCGCCCGAAAGGCGCAGCTGGCCCAGACGCCACGCGCGTGCGAACCCCGGGGCCCAGCAGGCCTCGGGGGCTCCCGCAGGAGGCTGCGCACGGAAGGGCCCAGGGTCAGACCGGGCCGGAGCCTCCCGGGACCAGGCCCTCCCTCCTCCCGCCGGCCGCGCGCCCAGGGCGACTGCAGAGCGCGGCACCGTGCGGCCCGGACTCCACCCGCCCGGCTCCGGCTCCGGCTCCGGCCGCGGACAAAGGAGGGCGCGGCCGGGCCCACTCACCCGGCGCGCGGCCTGCTGTCCATCCGCTTCTTCTGGCGCACCGGCTGCAGCGGGATGTTGTCCGTCATGTCGCCGGCGCCGCCCGCCTTGGCCGCCGCGCCCCCCGCGCCACCGCCCGGCCCGGCCTCCGCGCCGCCGCCCGCCGGCGCCGCACCGCCCCGGGGGAGGAGGCGGCGGCAGCGGGCGGGCCGGGCCCGCAGCGACGGGGCGAGGTCGCGAGCGCCGGGCCACGCGCGGAGCCGCCCGCGCGGCCCCACGGAGGGACACGGGCGCACCATGGGCCCGAGCTCCGCGCCTGCTCGCTCCGCGCCGCGCCTGCCTCGGGGGGCGGCCGGCCCGCGTGCTCACGGTCGCCGCCGCTGCCGCAGTGTCCCCGCCCCCGGCCCGCGCCGCGCGCCCCCCACGCGCGCCCACCCGGCCACGCGCCCCCCGCCCACGCCCGGCCGTGCGCGCGCGCGCCCTGCCGCCGCCGCGCCCCGCAACCGCGCGTGCACCGCCCGCTCACCCCGCCCAGCCTCCCACCTTCGCCCTGACACGCGCACTTTTTGCCCACCCATCGCACTCACATTCATCCTTCACCTGCACACGGAGTGCTCCGTGCACAGGCACCTGCCACGCTCACCAACACGCACATCCACCATCATACACGCTCAACGCCGCCCGCACCTTGCTCTCCCTCGTCCACGGCTGAGCATCTCACACGCGTGGCCCCAGGATTCCCAGTCGCAAAGACAGCTTAGTTCAGCTTTTCCAGCTCAACCCCTGTCTTACAGCACCCACACCTGCCCGCCACCTGGATTCCTCACCGCCGCCTCTTCCTCGTGTGCCTGCACAGCTCCCTCACACCCAGGGCCCCCCCCCCCCCATACTTTCTGTTTCTGGTTTTTGTTGTTTGGCCTCGACTCACTTCTGCCTCAGCCTCCCGGGTGCTGAGATTACAGGCGTGCACCACGCCCCCCTCACACACACCTTTTAGGCCTTGCACATCTACCCACACTCAGGCCCACACGCACAATCACGTTCCGTCTGATTCAGAGCCACACACACCTGACTCCTTACATGTCCACGCCACACTCCACACTGCATCTGGGACCCACAGCTTTTCTAGAGACCTGATAATTATTTTTCTTTTTCTTGGGGTGGGGGTGGTAATAAGTAGTGGGACAGAAATTAAAAATCAGCTTGTAATTAAGAAGTCTCAAAATGTGGCACCATAAAAACTAATGAACTGTAACTATAGCAAACCTTTAAGTAGCTGCAGCTGCTGATACTTCATGTTGGTGTAGGGTGGCTTTGACATGTTTACTAGGTATGGGGCCAAGCCACCAAGTACCCCAGTATTTAAGACACTTGGGCAGAGGAAAGAAGAGAGGATCTCAGCTAAGGAGTGTGAACTCTGTCTCAAAGAAGTTCCTCAAGAAAGGAAGCATGTGGGGCTGGGGATTTAGCTCAGCGGCATAAGCACCTGCCTTGCAAGCAGGCAGTCGTGAGTTCGATCCCCGGTACCGATAAAAAGGAACGCGACAAAAAAAAAAAAAAAAAAAAAAAAAAAGGAAGGAAGCATGCGATTACAAATTGCTACATGGTACCTTTGGAGAGCTAGCCGTGTTCTTCTGCCAACAGACCTGGTCGGTCCAGCTTGTCACTGCCTTCCTGCTGTGTCTAAGGTGAGGCTGCACGTATGCTGTGGCTTGGCGTCAGCGCTCAATAAAGGCTTGTTGAGAGGAGAAAGTGTAACACAGGTTACCGTATCACAGTAGGTCCCATCCCTTCCCATCACCTCCATGGACACCTGGCCCCGGTCACGCCCCAGCTGCAAATCCTCAGGTCAGCTGCCAGTCCCAAGCTTTCTTCCCCCTGATGCTGCCCACTGGGGTACCAGTGGACCTCCAAGAAGACAGAGAACATAATATATTAATCCACCAGTTGATACTCAGAAAAAATGAGCTGTGGTTCTAAAAATGGGCATGGAGTCAGGCATGGTGGTACATGCCTATAATCTCAGCACTCCAGAGGCTGAGACAGGAGGATGCTGTATATTGGAAACCAGCCTGCACTACATAGCTAGACCCTGTCTCAAAAAAAATAAGTGAATAAATAAATAAAAACAACAAACAGGTGAGGGGCTGGGGATTTAGCTCAGCGGCATAAGCACCTGCCTTGCAAGCAGGCAGTCGTGAGTTCGATCCCTGGTACCGATAAAAAGGAAAAAGACAAAAAAAAACAAAAAATCCAAGTTGAATCCACCTAACCGCCCTGGTAAGTCTAAATGATCAAACCAACTTCACAGGTGGGGAAATACACACTTCAGCCACAGCCACACAGCCACAGGTTTGCAAGGAGCTAGGCCTGTGTGGAAACCCAGAAAGCAGGAAGAATGGCCTCCTGTGACGAATGAACCACAGTAGCACCTACACTTCAGGAACAAACTCATCCGGATTCCAAATGTCTTCCAGCTGCCTCTGGATCGTGTGTTTTCCTTCTACTGGACTTTATCTGCTACCTCCTCGCTGTGGGACTACAGGCAAGTTATAAACTATGCAGGGCCTCAGTTTCCTCATCTGTAAAATGGGGCAATTCTAGTGGGGCCTCCTCTGGCCATTAGATGGGTAGATGAGTCGGTGGAGCATGTTTAGAAGGATATCTTCATTTAGAGGAAGAAACCGCATTAGGAGGGCTTGGGGTGGCCGAGAAGAAAGAGTTGGTATAAGAACAGATACAAGGGACTGGGGATTTAGCTCAGCTGCATAAGCGCCTGCCTTGCAAGCGTGTGGTCATGAGTTCGATCCCTGGTACCGATAAAAATACAAAAAAAAAAAAAAAAAAAAAAAAAAGAACAGATACAAAAGTCCTTGCTGGGGCTGGGGATTTAGCTCAGTGGCATAAGCGCCTGCATGGCAAACAGGCAGTCGTGAGTTCGATCCCCGGTAAAAGGAAAAAGGAAAAAGACAAAAAAAGGATAAAAAGGAAAAAGACAAAAAAAAAAAAAAAAAAAAAAAAAAGTCCTTGCTGTGGTATCTGCCATGTGACCAATCCTCACCAAGCTCTCCCATTAGGATGCCTCCTGGAATCATTAATTCAGGAGTAAACACCATGATGTGAGCCACAATTGCCTCGGTTAAAATACCGCAGAGGGTTGTGTTTTGGCTGTGGTTTTGGTCCTGTTTGGGGGGGGGTGCTTTCTTTTTCAGTGTTGGGGGGATTGAACCCTCGCCCGCGCTGGCAGCTGCCCGGCCACTGGGCTACATCTCCAGGGCTCCAGATGGACTTGTTTGAATGTATGGTAATTTAAGTAACAGACTGCTCCCTCCCTCGTCTCCTTGGGGATTGAACCCAGGGCCTCATGGCTGCTGACGAAACCTTTATCACCCAGCTACATCCCCAGCTGCTTGCATTTGAAGACATGGTCCTGTTCAGTTGCCCAAGCTGGCATCCACCAGGGTGCTGGGATTACAGCATGGCCACTATTCTTGGCTCTGTTAGAGAATTTTAAAATCTATTCTGTCTCTTGGCAGTAATTCCATTCTACTGCTTTTTTTTTTTTTTTTTAAAGAGAATACCCACCCAGGCATGGCAGGCCACATTTGTAATCCCAACATTTGCTTGGGAGGCTGAGGCAGGAGGATTACTGTGAGTCTGAGGTCAGCCTGGGCTACACAGTGAGCTCAGTCCAGCCTGAACTACACAGCAAGACCTCAACTCAAAAAACCAAAATCAAAACTAAAGGCATCTGGGCGAAAATCAACAGATGATCTAATCATTGATTTTAGTAGTCTTCGCTGAGGCCTTTGAAAGTTCCAGGCCCTGGATGTAACCGTAAACAAGGCAGAGGCAGTCCCCTAGTGCTGCGTATGACACCCAGGCCAAGGTTGCAAAAGACCTTGAAAGGGGAGCAAATGACCTCTACCGCACACCCTTCAGAGTGGCCAGGGCTTCTCCTTACCTTTCCGCTAGAAAATTGATAGTAATACAAAGAATTCTTATTCAGAGAAATGCAAATGAACTTTCCCGCTGTGATACTGTTTAGCTCTCCACCTGTCCTTGTTTTCCAGCTCTTTGTCAGTTCTACGCTCCTTACTGACTACGGTTTGGGCGTGCTTATGATTCAGTTGTAAATCCTCCAAGTCATGATTTTCCCCCTTTGAAATATTTTCCCAGGGGAAACAGAAAATGAGTAAACATTTTAGGGGGAACAAATACCCTTGAGCCAGGCATGGTGACATGTGCCTACAATTGCAACATTCTGGGAGGCTGAAACAGGACAATTACAATTTAAGCCCAACCAGGGCAACATAGCAACGTGGCAAGACCCTGTTTCAAAATAAGAAGTAAAAATGGTGGGCCTGGTGGTGCACGCCTGTAATCCCAGCACTCGGGGGGCAGAGGCAGGAGGTTCACGCAGGTTGGAGGCCAGCCTGGGATACAAAGTGAGTTCAAGGCCAGCGTGAACTGCACAGTGAGACCCTGTCTCAAAAGACTAAATAAACAAAATAAATACAAATAAAAATAAAAAAGGCTGGGGATGTAGCTCAATGCAAAGGCCCTGCATTCAAGTCCCTGGTGATAAAAAGAAAAAAAAGCCAGAAAGTTATGTGAAAAGAGATGTTCTGTTGTGGTTTTTTTGTGTTTGTTTTTTTGTCTTTTTCATTTTTATCGGTACCAGGGATCGAACTCGCGACCACACGCTTGCAAGGCAGGTGCTTATGCCGCTGAGCTAAATCCCCAGCCCCGAGATGTTCTGTTGTTAATTATCCTTACTTGATAAACTTAAAACATGAGCAATGCTAAGGTCCTACCAGTTCTCAAAATTTAAAATTTTTTCTCTTTTGAGACAGAGTCTCACTATGTAGTTGAGGCTGGGCTTCAAATTGCCACGTAGCCTGGGCTGGCCGTGAGCTTTGCCTCCTCCTGCCTCAGCCTCCTGAGTGTTAGGATTATGGGTGTGCACTACCACACCAGGCTCCTGCCCTTCCCTATTTTTAAAAGCAATCCGGGGCCGAGATGCAGCTGAGTGGTGAGCCCTGACCCACAGTGGCAAGGCCCTTACTTCAGTCCCTATCACGACATAAAGAAAAATATAAGCACCATGTGCTGGCCTGTAGAATTCCGAAGATGAGAGGCCCTACATGCCGTTGGGGTTTCTGCTCCCCCTCTTA